TATATATATATATATGAATGATCTAATATGTGATGAAAATAGATAATCTTGGACTTTGGGTGATGATAATGATAATGATAATAATGCCTTGAATTAGCCCTCCATAAATTTGAAGGATTCTCTAACAAAGAATAAAAATTAGGTAATCTTATAAAAATTATGTTCATAGCTAATGTAGCTCGTCAAAAGTTAGTCATGAATATTCAAGAGTGATCTCACAATAAACTAAGAATTTTTTTATGCTTCCATTTTTTGGTGATGTTTTCATTGGCCCGACAGGATAATTCTCCCTCTCTAAAGATAGTTGGGATGATTCCAACTAAGGGTGTGCACTGTTTGGATAAATCCAAAAAATCGATCCGAACCTAACCGATTTATTGATTTGGTTCAATTCTTAAAATATTGGTTTGGTATTTCGCTTTAAAATTTTTATAGTTTGGTTTATGGTTCAATTTAAAGCAAAAAAATCAAACCAACTGAAAATCGGTCTATATACACGGAAGTTCGGTTTCGGTTCGGCAGAAGGCGCAAACAAAATGTATAAAGAATATTTTTACTTAAAGATGATGAAAAAATAATATTTTTGGCTAATTTAAATTTTAAATTTCTGTATTTTAGAACCAAACCGATCAAATTGAATTCATTTTGGCTGGTTGGTTCTCATAAAAAAATTATTTGGATTGGTTATTTGGATCTTTGATTTTGGTTCATTATGGTTGCAAAATTTCCGAACCGATCCGGCCGAACTGCCAAATACACACCCCTCATTCCAACAATGTGTATTGAGTTTGCTCAAACGGGCTTGCTTGACTCCTCCATTGGCACTTTTCCCTGTCGTTGAGTGTTCACTTTGACCGCAACAAACTCCTTCAACTTTCTGGTGCAGATTAATTCTTCCACTAGATTTCTAAGATGTCGACATTCTTCGGTATCATGGTCGTGGTTCTGATGATACTGACAGTTTTTGTTGGGGTTCCGAAGGGAAACTCTGATTCTCGTCTGTGGTGGCTTCTTAAGATACTCCTTGTTTTGGATGGCCTCAACCAATTCAGCCATCAAGACCTTAAGTCGGGCCCTACCTTGCATTCCACGGTATATGTGTGGTCACTCATAATATCGAGCATGGACCCTCAAATCGTTGTTCCTTCTTCATTCATCTCTATGTTTATGTTTGTCCTCATTCTTTGCGAGACCAAAATGTTCTTAGTTGCTCCTCGCCTTTCACGTTTTGCTGTAGGCAGCCCTTTTCTTCAAACGCTGATCGGATGTGTCTGTTTTTTGTTCGGAGGTACCATTGACATACTCCCTGATAGTGATTTATTTTTTTGCCATTTCCAGCAAATCAGCCAACAATTTGGGCTCACACAAACATAAATCGAATTTAAAGCAAGCTCCTTTCACTCCCTGAGTTAGGGCAATTTACACGATGACTAGGCACAAGTTTTGGAATTCTAACATTTTCTTCTGGAAATGGGTGATTCAAAAATGAAGGCTTTCATTCTCACCTTGCTTAACCTGTAGCAGGGCCTGAAATTTCTTCTTACACTTTTGGTTCCTGGCGAATTGAGCCACAATCACTTTCTTGAACTTAGCAAAAGAGGACACGCCTTGATGTTAGGTTATTGAACCGTCTGAGGGTCGTCTCCTTCAGAGTCGTTAAAACCAAATGATCCTTCACGGTGTCTATTATCAACAACATTTTGATCGTTGATTTAAACAAACCATGTGATTGGTCAAATCATTATTTCCTTTATAAGAGTCCAAATGTTGAGGACGTAAATTTTTTGGTGGTTTATCTTCCTGAATCTGTCGAGAGAATGGATTTCTGGCACTGGAGGTGTCTCATATTGCATCGACTGGTACCTCTCCACTATTGCGGACCCAACATCCTCATGTTAAAATTTTTATGCTCGTTGATTGTTGGGATTACTCTCCAACCACTTGGAACTAATGGCTTCTCTTGAGGTTGCTCCCCGCGAAGTTGAGTTCCGCAAGACTCTTCTGTCAGGACCCGGAGGAAGTTATTATCTCACTTTTTTTGTGATTGCTTCTTGGAGATCATTAAAACAACCAAACATCTGATATTGTAACTTCTACATTTTGTTGTTAATTTTGTTGTTGTATGAACTCTCGAGTAGATTCCATGGTTACCGTGTCTTTTTGGTTAGTCCCGTCTGCTTGTAGTGCTCTATTTCTTATCCATGCATGGCATGTCCATGTTCACCGCATCACCTTTTAGGAGGTTGAATCCTAAATTGTCGTACTGGCATGTCCCAAAAGTTTAGGGTATGAAAAAAGATAAGAAAAGTGAAAAAAAGAAAATAAGACACATGACCAATGAGAAATTTATGGAGAAGAGTTTGTGACCTTTTTTCATAAAATAACCCCTATTTATAATCATAGGTGACTTGAGTATACAATTAGAATATTAACCTCTTTATACAAGCCCAAATTATAATATCATGATATTAAATCCCATCAACACCCAATATAAATCATAACATAATAATATAAATGCTCAATAATATAAGGATTGACAATATAACTAGGGCATTTCTTATATTTTTCCTAACTATGGGTTGATAATATAACCACCTCTATAATATAAATAAGTGAATAGAAATATATGGTCAATTGACTTTTACTTCTAACTGCTTGTTGCCTAGTTTTTGATCGATTATGTCGATCAGATGACTTGACCGGTTGTATAGGTTTGACGGGATCATTGGTCGTTTAGACAAGTGATCTAGGCTAACCGATCATTTGATAGCCCTTTGCATGGAATTCCGATCCAAAATAGTGGAGTCTAGTTGAACTGCTTGATCTCTTTAGAATTTGTGCTGATATTTTTTTTGTATACACCATTAGTACTCTAGATGTCACCAAAGGTTTGGACTTGTCTACAACATAAAAAATTATGTCGGATGATTGGATGAAAAAAATAAAATATAAAATATTCACACACTAAAATAGACAAATATTTAAATTTCTCTGAAACTTGAGAACTATAAGGAGAAAATTTGACTGAATGCAAGATTATTGACAACCAACAAAAATCCTAATTCATAAGATGTCACACAATTGCCTACTATTGGAGCATCTAATTTCATTTGATTCCAAATGTCATAAATATATAAAATCAGATCATATTCTTTGATTTTAGATGAATATTTCACATGGTTCAAATCAATCTTTTGACCTAAGAAAATGCCAACCAATCCACTCCAGACCAAATTGATGTGGGACTAGTACCAGAGTTGAATTCATATAGATGATCGTTTGTGGATGATGTCACAATCAATACTAAATAGGCAAACCAATATAATTAAGATTTCGTTTGAGAAGGCGATAAAATTTAGTTCATTAGAGTGAACGCCGACTCAAGAAAAAAATTTTGTTTGATGAATTGGCAGCGGGAGTTTGGGAGGCAAACATCTCCTAAAGTTCTTTCATAACAAGGACAAATTTCATCATTTCAGACCGCTGTTGTCTTCTTCTAATTTAGCGAAAGCGGCATGTAATAAAAATTTGTTGAATGGTAAAGCTACTTCAAACGAAGCCTAAATTGTCATTTTACTTGTAATCAAAAAAATAAAAAACACATTTCGTATATATAAACCGTAGAAATGAATCATTATTTAAACAAATACAAAAACACACACAACCAAAATAACAAGCACAGAAATATAGCAACGCAACATCATGAAAGCAAACGAATCAACCGTGCATGTAACATGGCCATTTATTATAAATTTAGACGAGTACTACGTCTCAGTTAACTAATTCATAATTTAATTCCAATTAATTATTGACGGCGGAGAACTTGGCCTGGAGCATTCGGACAATGTTCTCATCAAGCTGGAACGCCTTCTCCAAAACAATAGGAATGATAGACGGATTCGATCCGAAGGCAGCGTTTGCCACCCTCACCACACCAGGATTCTGGCTGCTCAATGCGGCCAGAGCCACCGCATTATTCTTCCCGATATTGATCTGAAAGTGGACGAGACCTTGAGGGAAGACATACATTTCGCCCTCATGAATTATTTTAGTGAAGAGCTTGTAGTCCGGGTTGGAGGTGACAAAGCCAACAATGAGCTCGCCCTTCAGCACCGTAAGTATCTCGCTCGCCCTCGGATGAGTGTGCGGTGGGTTAACTCCATAAGGCGCAAAGTCTATACGAGCCATGGAGTTGCCGAGAGTGTTCGCCCCAGGGAATTGCTGCACAAAAGCCGGCGTCACCACCGATCCCAACTGGTTTGTCGTGTTTCCGGCTCGAGCCAACCCTGCATAGAAGAAATCGTCTGCGGTGACCAAGCTCGGGTTCTTGCACAAGTTCCCGTTCACAAATGCTGCAAAGAAACATTGCAAAAATTTTAAATTAAAAAAAAAAAATCAGGATACAAATATACTGTCTATATAAAGTATTTCTTACAAGTAGATGAATTGTCGGCAACGCAGAAGTCCTGCAGAATGCCTGGGTCTGTAGCTATCGTGTGATACGAGGCCAAGGAGAGGATGGCTAGTAGGAGGGAGAGGATGGCATTAGAAGCCATCGATGGTTAGTTCTGCGTATCTAATCTTGTTGCTACTTGTGATTCATTTGGTTTATAAGATGTAAGTATATATAGATGGCTAGAACGTACTGATAAAACTTGAAGTGTTCTCTCGTTTCCAGCCATGCATTGAAACGTGGTTTTAGAGGAGGTCAACCATTAGGGTTACTTAATTGTGATTTACTTGAAAGTTAAAAATTTTCTTTTAATTAAATTACGTTCTAACGGGGCTGTAATTAAAGAACTGAACGATGGATATATACGACAAAGTAGGGTTGGTGGGGGATATATTAGTGAAAGGAAGAGTATGCATAGATATTAATTTGTTATAAGACTGGCGTATTTTTAATGTGATACGATATGCAAACAGTTGTTGAGCACCGCGGGCTGCAACTAATAACTGGAAGCTTTGTGAGGCTTATAGTTACTTAATTGCAGTTGATTGGTTAATTTTCTTGCAAGAAATAGACTTTGGACTCAGTCAATCAAATGTTTTTTTCTCTAGCTAATTTATAATAATATTGATCTCATTAAGAAAATTTAAAATGATGGCAGAAGGAAGCTTCTTCATTAGGGACACCCTACTGAAAATTTCTATATAAGCAAAAAATATGAAAATTCTATTGAAAATGATTAAGAACTTTGATTTCAATAAACTTGTAATAAAATTGATTTATGTTATTTGTGATACCGTCGTAAGGTTTCCCCTTAGGGGTTAAATCTGAGTCGGTGAGGTGATGGGGGATGTGAGTTGCATATGGGTCCGATGAAGGCTGCACACAGTTCACCCAATCGAAACTTCTTCAGAATGGCTTTAAGAAATGAGTCTTCTCCTCCAAAGATGGCAGGAACTTAGTTGCATTCATTAAGTACGACCATGCATGGTTTCTTTATGATATTATAAGCTTGCTTTCTTTCATGAATAGTTGATTTTGTCATATCACTATTGGTAAGGGCCTCTTAACCGCTCCCACTCGTAAGCTCATTCTATCTCCCTTACTACAAGTTCCAAACATTTCTCATAATATGCTTGCCGTTCATCAACTTACCAAACTTAAAACAAGTTCCATTACATTTGACAATTTTTGTTTTGTCGTCAACGACCCGATGAGCAACAAAGTTCTCCACCAAGGTCCATGTCTTCAAGATCCTTACCCTGTTAAATCTCCACTACAATCAACTTCAAATTCAGCAGCTCTTCTCAGCTCACTTTCCAACACTATGCTTTGGCACACACGCCTTGGACATCCGTCTCCATCTACTCCACCTGCATTCCTCCAGAAATTCAGCTCTCATAAAATCAAATCTCTTTCGTTTCATTTTTCAGCATTTTGTCACCTCCCAAAAGAGCTCTTTGGGGTGGTGGGCAGCCCAGAACTTAAATATTGTTTTTCGGCCCTACACCTAACCGATGCGGGACTTTTTGTCCGTGACATTCTCCTCCACCCAATCACGTGACGCTCTCGTCACAGATCGACTCCACTAAGGGTCCCACTGGACCATGAAAAGTCCACACACCTAGCAGACAATAATCTGGTATGATACCGCTTGTCACCTCCCAAAATAGCTCTTCGGGGTAGTGGGCAGCCCATGATATAAATACTACTTTTCGGCCCTACACTTAGTCGATGTGGGACTTTTTGTCTGTGACAATGTGCTCTTGCTAAGAGTCACATATTACTTTCTACACCTTTTAGTTCTAAAATATTTGATGTTTTTTATTTACTTCTTTGTGATGTATGGGTCCCTTCCCCAATTTTGTCAAATCAAAGTTATAAATATTATCTTGCATTAGTTGATGATTTCTCCCGTTACTGGTGGACATTTCCTATGAAACTTAAATCTGAAGTTTCTTCTATAATTCAACATTTTAAAAACTTTGTTGTAACTTAATTTACCGCTAAGATTAAATCAATTCGTACTGATGGTGGTGCTGAATTTATAAATTATACCTTACAAAAAATCTTTGTACTCAATGATATACATCATTGAATTAATTGTCCCTATACACCAAATCAATATAATGTTGTCGAACGTAAACATATGCAACTCATAGAGATGGTTCCTACACTTATGCTTAATGCTCATCTTCCCTCTCATTTGTGGGTTGATACCTTATTAACAGCTACCTATCATATTAATCGTCTTCTGTCCAAAACTACAAATATTATTTCTCCCTTCAAATACTCTACAGGAAGCCTCCCTCTTATACTCATCTTAAGACTTTTGGATGTTTGTGTTATCCTCGACTCCTACCATATTCATTTCATAAACTTTCCGCCAAATTTATTTCTTGCATTTTTCTTGGCTATGCACAAAACTATAAAAGATACAAATGACTTGATGCTTCTTTGGTTATATATATATCTCCAAAAATGTGATTTTTCACAAATATATCGTTACATATATGTCTAATTCTACTATCCAAAACATTAATAACACACCTAACCATGTTCGGCCACTACTTTTGTTTATAGCTAACCAACCGCCACTCTTCACCTCTTCTTCCTCCATACATCATACCTCTCAAATACTTCTTCAACCAAGTCCACCTTTTGTACAACTGACCGAAAGTCCTTTGCTTCCTACTACAACTACTAATGTCACTAATTCGTCTTCCTTTGCATCTCCTATTTGTCACACTATGCTATCTTCACTCTTCATAACCCTTTAATAGAATTTGAACCTTCTTGTTGTACTCAAGCCATCAAACAAGAACATTGGTGGAAAGCCATGTCACTTGAGTTTCAAGCATTGCAAACTCAATGTACTTGGGAACTTGTACCTTCCCACACCTAATATGAACATTTTAGGTTGTAAATGGATCTATAAAATCAAATTAAATTCAGGCGGCTAGCTAGCTGGCTATAAAGCACATTTGGTTGCACAAGGGTTCAATAAAGAACAATGATTGGACTCTACTGAAACATTTAGTCCAATTGCCTAGTTTCTAACTATTTGTGTCTTTCTTACAATTGTCATCATAAATTGTCGGGTAATGTAAAAACCCGGTTCACTAAAGTTTTATTAGCTTCTTAATTAAGAATCTCACCTACCGCTCATCTACCTTTCCACCTACCGCTGACCTACCTCCCACCTACCGCTCTCTTGGTTTCTATAAATAGCCTCTTATGACTTGTCATAGGTCATGCTAAGGGCCAAGCCAAGCAAGGCCAAGCTAAGCAAGGCCAAGCTAAGTCCTTTTGAGAGCTAAGAGAAAGAGAGGAAGAGAGAGAGAAAGAGGAAGCGAGAGAAAAAATAGAGATTTTCTTGTAAATGTCGAGGCGCTCGACACTGTAATTCCTTGAAGAAATAAAATCTTTTGCAGCTCTGAGGATGTAGGCAAATTTGCCGAACCACGTAAATATGTGTGTCGCTCTGATATTTTTCTGCGTGTAATTTTATACGTTCCATTTTTCGCTTTATTGTCGTTGTTTTTCACAACAACTCATATCGGAGCTTTGGTTCGAATATAAGGAAGAGCAATAGACGGAGACGAAGTGATGAAATCAGAGATCGAGAAGTTCAATGACAGATTTTATTTATTAGATGATGCAAATAGAGGACTATCTCTATGAGAATAAACTTCATCTTCCGTTACTGGAAAGCGACCAGAAAAGATGGATGAGATAGAATGTAATATGTTGGATCGACAGGTTTTGGGGGTTATTCGACTAACTCTGTCGATATTTGTTGCCCCCAACGTCATTAGGAGAGGATGACTGCGGATCTCATGGCGGCTTTCTTAGGTATGTATGAAAAGCCATCGACGAATAACAAAGTGCATCTGATGAAAAAGTTATTCAACTTGAAGATGAAGAAATGTGTGTTTGTTGCTCAAAGTCTAAATGATTTCAACAATATCACAAATCAATTGTCGTCTGTTGAAATTGATTTTGATGATGAGATATGTGCATTGATATTGTTGGCTTCATTGTCAAATAACTGAGAAGCCATGAGGATGACAATTAGTAGTTCTGCAGGTAAAACTAAGCTGAAATATGAAGATATTTATGATTTGATTTTTGTTGAGGAGGTGCGCATGAAGGATTCTAGCGATGCCTCGTGTTCGAGTTCGACACTGATTGTTGATTGCAGAGGGAGATCACAAGACATGAACTCAAACAAAGTAAAATCAAAATCAAAGTCTGGTCAGCGAGCAACTTGTTGGAATTGTGGCAAGACTGACCACATAAAAAAAAGAATTGCAGAAATCCTAAGAAGAAGGAGAATGATGGTGCTAATGTTGTATTCGAAGAAATACATGATGCGTTATTGCTGGCAGTTCACAGTTCTTTTGATGACTAGATATTGGATTTAGAGACTTCTTTCCATACATCTTCCCGTCGGGAGTTAATGTGAAATTATGAAGGTACATCTGACTGATGGAAAAGTTCTGAATGTAGTGGGGATGAGAGACGTTGATATTGCACTCCCTAACAAGAGCAAGTGGACTTTGCAAAAGGTATACATGTTCATGAGTTGAAGAAAAACCTCATCTCTGTTGGACAGCTCAATGAGGGTGGTCATTCGGTAGTGTTCTCAAATAGCATCTGGAAGGTTACCAAATGAGTATTAGTACTAGATTGGGGTAAGAAAACTGACAAACTATATATGACTACAGATTTACTTAGCCGAGGACACATGAGTCAGAGATGCATTATGGGAAAACAAATAAAGATCAATTTTCTGAAAAGTGGGAGAGCGCCAAAGACAGAAAAATCAGACCTTGTACAGACAAATGGTGGAGAACCACAAAGTTATGAAGAAATCTTGCAAGTTGAGAATTTGAGCAAGTGGGAGCTGACCAAGAAAGCGGAGACGGATTCCCTGTCGGGGAATCAGAATTGGGAGCTAGCAGAACTTTCACAAAGGAAGAAGACATTGCACAACAAGTGAGTGTACCGGGTGAAGACTGTGTTTGGTGACAGTAAGAGGTACAAGGCTAGACTTGTTGAATAGAGCTTTCAGCAGGGGCAGGATATTGCTCATGTAGTGGGATTTATAAATGGATACAAAGTAACCCAGTAAAGAGCTTGGTGGTACAAGACTACGTTGACGGTAATATGTCAGCTAAGGGTGTTACTCATGAGAAGCTGAAGTTGTGCTCAATTCGAAGAAATACATGATGCGTTATTGCTGGCAGTTCACAGTTCTTTTGATGACTAGATATTGGATTTAGAGACTTCTTTCCATACATCTTCCCGTCGGGAGTTAATGTGAAATTATGAAGGTACATCTGACTGATGGAAAAGTTCTGAATGTAGTGGGGATGAGAGACGTTGATATTGCACTCCCTAACAAGAGCAAGTGGACTTTGCAAAAGGTATACATGTTCATGAGTTGAAGAAAAACCTCATCTCTGTTGGACAGCTCAATGAGGGTGGTCATTCGGTAGTGTTCTCAAATAGCATCTGGAAGGTTACCAAATGAGTATTAGTACTAGATTGGGGTAAGAAAACTGACAAACTATATATGACTACAGATTTACTTAGCCGAGGACACATGAGTCAGAGATGCATTATGGGAAAACAAATAAAGATCAATTTTCTGAAAAGTGGGAGAGCGCCAAAGACAGAAAAATCAGACCTTGTACAGACAAATGGTGGAGAACCACAAAGTTATGAAGAAATCTTGCAAGTTGAGAATTTGAGCAAGTGGGAGCTGACCAAGAAAGCGGAGACGGATTCCCTGTCGGGGAATCAGAATTGGGAGCTAGCAGAACTTTCACAAAGGAAGAAGACATTGCACAACAAGTGAGTGTACCGGGTGAAGACTGTGTTTGGTGACAGTAAGAGGTACAAGGCTAGACTTGTTGAATAGAGCTTTCAGCAGGGGCAGGATATTGCTCATGTAGTGGGATTTATAAATGGATACAAAGTAACCCAGTAAAGAGCTTGGTGGTACAAGACTACGTTGACGGTAATATGTCAGCTAAGGGTGTTACTCATGAGAAGCTGAAGTTGTGCTCAACTTCAGCTGGTCTTCTGGCATGAAGATAGGGGCTTCAAGTTGCAGAGGCGGAGGATATCATGTTTGAGGAAAATGTCGGTACAACTAGTAGATGTTGCAGCCAGTAGGTGATGCAATCAGTTTCCTAGTGTCCAAGTGGGGAGAATTGTTGGGTAATGTGGAGACCCGGTCCACCGAGATTTAATTAGCTTCTTAATTAAGAATCCCACCTCCCACTCACCTACCTTCCCACCTACCGCTCACCTACCTCCCATCTATCGTTCTCTTGGTTTCTATAAATAGTCTCTTATGGCTTGTCATAAGCCATGTCAATGGCCAAGCCATGCAAGGCCAAGCCAAGTCCTCTTGAGAGCTAAGAGAAAGAGGGGAAACGTGAAAAGTGAGAGAGAGGAAGGGAGAGAAGAAAATAAATATTTTCTTGTAAACGTCGAGGCACTCGACGGTGTAATTCCTCGAAGAAATAAAATCCTCTACAGCTCCGTGGACGTAGGCAAATTTGTTGAACCACGTAAATCTGTGTGTCGCTCTGGTGTTTTTCTGCGCGCAATTTTACTCGTTCTATTTTTTTGCTTTATTGTCGTAGTTTTTCACAACACAAATAAATGGAGTATTCTTCAGCTTGGTGTTTCTAATGCCTTTGTGCATGTCTGCCTAGATGAATCAGTTTATATGAAACAACCTATTGGATTTGTGGATACTACTCATCCAAGTCATGTATGCAAGCTGCACAAGGCGCTATATGGATTGAAACAAGCACCACGCCAATGATTTGCCACTTTGACTACCTATCTTCAATTACTTGGATTTGAACTTTCAAAGCTGATGCCTCCTTGTTGTTATTTCAAAATACTAGCATTGTCATTAACAATTTTGTTTATTTCAATGATATCCTTATGTCCGGTAACAATGATAATGTTATTCAAGACATTGTTGCCAAACTTGCAACTCACTTTAAAATGAGAAATCTTGGTTCTATACATAATTTTTTGAGAATCCATGTTCAACACACATCTTAAGCGCTGCATTTGAACCAATCTTGATATGCTCACGAGCTCCTAAATCGGGCCGGTATGCTTGATTGTAAATCCGTTTTTACTCCACTCCCTACAAAATTCACTACCCCAATATATCAGTCTCCTCCCTAAGAGCAACCTTCATTCTATCGACACTTGGTGGGGTCTTTGCAATATCTTACGTTGATCGGGCCTGACATTGCATATATTGTAAATAAACAATGCCAATCTATGCATCAACCCCATAACAATCATTTTCAACCATTTAAATGGTTATTGCGATATATTAAGGGTGCACTATCTTCTTAATTACCCATTTATGCCTCTCCTCTAAATCTACAATCCTTTTCTGATTCAGATTAGACAAGAGATTCCTCAGATCGAAAAGCTGTCACTGGATATTGCTCTTTGCTTGGTAAAATCCTTATTTCCTGGCGTGTTAAAAAGCAGTCTATTGTAGCTCTTTCTTCCACGGAAGCTGAATACCGAGCTCTTATTATTACTGCAACTGATATTATGCGGTTAAGACGTCTCCTTCGTGAATTTGGTATTTTCGTATCCGCACCTACACCACTATTTTGTGACAATATATCTGCCTTAGCTCCCTCAAATAATACAATATTTCATTCTAAGACTAAGCATATTGCTACTGACTTTCATTTCATTCGAGATTGCATCAAATCAAATGATATTATTATTCACCACATCAACTCCCAATATCAGATAACATTTATCTTCACCAAATCACTTCCTGTCTCTCGGTTCTAATATCTTTGCAACTAGGCTTACAATCCAAGATTGGCCTATCAACTTGCGGAGAGGTGATAAGTCTCTAGATGGTGCTGGTATGGATCATGGATGAGAGGGCATACCCACATAATTGATCTCCACTCTCCATTGCTCTGAAACGGCTGCTCCTCACTCATAACATCAATTGGTGATATTCTTTCACTTCTCTGTAATTGTTTCTGCAAGTGTTCCCTTTTGGTAATGGTCAACAAGCCTATCTATTTCAAAGTGCAACAGACACTGTATTTCGTGTTCGGTTAAAGCAATAAGTATAGCATTTATTTTTCTATCTCCTTCCTCTCCTTGATTTCTCTATTGTTGCAGTTCTTCACATACCACTCAATTGCAATATATTTACATATGTAACACCTAAACACCTCCTACACACATACCACATTCCCCATATGTATTTTACTTCTTAAAAGTTAAAATTATGATATTTTTTTTATGGATATGAAAGATTTACGTGGTATATATATATATATATAAATTTAGATGTTAGATATATAAACTCGCAGGAATTGAACGGAATATACAAAATTTCATTATTTTAAAAATATCGTTGCACTAAAATCACATCCCTCTATACATGCATCATGAAAATTATTATTTATTTTAAATAAGCGTGCATTAACGATATTTTAATGTAATTATAAAATTCAAATATTAAATAAATATGTAAAAATAAAACTTGTAATATGCATTTAAATCACTCAAAAAAAATATTCATATGAAAAAAAAATTTTGGTTTGCTTGAGTTTGTGCAGGTTCGATGTATGTTTATTCATCGTGAATTTAACCAATATGTTAATTGGACTGCCAAAAGAGATTTGGATTCTCGTGAGCTAAATTTTTCTATTACTATCCATTGAAGCATTCTCGATTGATTAAAGGGGATTTTTTTAAATATTCTTTATATTCATATTAATAATTTTTCTAATGTGTTTTCTTAGATCAGTTTTATTCGTAGTTAATGAATGTTAGATTTTTATTTATTTTTTTAGTAAGTTATTTGTATGGAAATTTTAATAGAATTATTAGCCACATATTTGTAATTATTTTTTTGATGAAATAATTTTTTTTAAAAAATAATTCACCAAAAAAGAATTTTTTTTTTCATATTCGATTTCACGCTATAGAGAAAAAGACAGGTCGGTAAGATACCATCTCAACAAATGAAAAAAAAATGTTACATCAGGACACCGCACGTAGAGTTATGTGCGGAGTCCAATGAAATTACGTCACACACGTGAATGTGAGAAAAAAAAAATCGGTCCGATAATACAGAGAAATATTGCTCCCGTGTTATTATAGTGTTATTGTGTGTTATTAAAGTGTTATTTATGTGTTATTGTGTTATGAGAAAACACAATAATACATGAATAATATACAATAACACTTGAATAATACAAGAGGAATATTTATTATGTGTGTGTGAGGACCCCAGATGCATTCGGAATATAGGGGAGCCACAAAGTGGATCCATCACAAAATGACACGTGCACAAACACATGGACGCAGTATTTTCCGGCCTCTTGATACACTTCGTCTTTTGGTCTTCGTTGGCCAAAGTTTAATCTGAGCAGTTACACAACACCGCCTCAGCCGTAGCCTGAGATGTTCGTCTGCCGCTTCTATTTTGGTTGTTTCTCGTCCTCCCGTGTTTCAGTTATGCACCTGCACCTCCCTCCCCAACTACCCATTCCTGTGAAACCCTAATTCGTTGCTCTTGATGTTGGGATTGATCGCATCATCGGGGCATCGGAGTGAAAATGGTGGAAAGGAGGAAACCTCTTATATTGTCCTCTACAAGAGATATTATTGATTCTGTACTCTCTTCGGCGAAGTCGGGTACTGAAGGGAATGATGGAAGGGCAGCCGATTGGAAGCTCCCGCTGCGCCTGCCGGCCGGGATTCTCAGGTTCTCCGGCGATGGCACTGGAGGAAGTGAGCTTCACGAGAGCTCGCATCTGGTGGGGTTATCTTCCTCGGTGCTTAGAAAACTCTCGGTGACCACTGGTTCACTGGTAAGTATTTTTTATCCGTGGTGGGGGAAACTTGTTGTGGAAGAGAAGAAGGGAATTATTTTTTTTATTCTGAGTTTCTCGTTGATATTAGGGTACTGTTCTTTAGAAATTTGCCTGCAATTCTTTGTTAGAAGTTGGTTTTCTTCTTGGACTACCTGCTAATTTCAAAGAAGTTTAATTGGCACTTTGTTCGTTGTAGGGGTTTAGTTCTCCATGAAATTAAATTTTTTGTTTTCTTCTGACTATCATACGTTATGCTTTTTATGCCCAAGTTTTCTGTAAACTTTGTTATGGTATGTTGGATTTGCTGATTTCCTAACCATGAAGAAGTGTGGCGGTGAAATGGAGGATATTTGGGCGGTTGGAGTTGGGAGATGATAAAATTGAATTAGTTACTAGGTTCCTTAATGTGGAGTCAACATCTGCGATATTCACCTATGGCCTACTGTAAATTCAAGGGACTACATTGTCGAAGCACATGAAGAGCTGAACCTTCCTTTTCTGATCCTGGCATCAATAATTGTCCAAGTAGTGTTGTTACGTATTTGACCTATATGAATTCGAGTCTGATGTTGGCACACTGAAATCTTTTCATTGGCTTTGAATTTTTTAATTTTATCAGCAAAATGAAGAATACACCGTAAGATACGTTTAGCTTCAAATCCCAGCAGTTGGGTCAGGGATAATGGACCTAATGGTTATGACATTTCCTTGAGATTTTTTATTTTTTATTTTTGGTTTCATTCAGACATATAAGAAATGGGCGTAATATAACCATTTTTCACTTTCATGCAAGCTGGATCAATTTCAATCAATTTTAGCCAGCTTAATTGTGTTTCTAGTTTTTTGAGCCACATGTCTACAATGTCATACTAAAGTAGAAGGTCTCTTGGAGAATGAAAAGGTGTGTGAAGAGAGCTTTGTGGGGGCTGATGTTCGTTGAGGACTCGGAGGCATTTATGTTGTATAAATTTTAAGATGACAATGGTGGTTAGGATCTTATGGAAATTGTGGTGATAAGGGGTTTTTTCAAGTGAGGATTAAGGGAAAGGTTGTCTTGTAGGAGGAGAAGAATTGTTGAGATTATGAGTGGTCCCGCATCATGGCAATAACTCGGAGAAAGCATTGATGGGCCAAGGAAATTTATGATAGATGATATAATATTTTGTTGTTGTAAGGCCTATTCGGTTGTCTGCGTGTAAGTTAGGTGATGATTAACAAAACAATCATAAACTAGTATTTTGGTAATGTGTAAGGCTAAAAACAATTGTTGATGATCATCGAAGAGGAGTTAAGAGGATATGACAGAGAAATGAGAAAATAATAGAGTGATCTAAAGCATACTTATTTTGGGTTTCAAGCCCTCTCTTAGCTTAGTGTGGCTTTCCTCCTTAAGTGAGTATGAGTCCAGTTTAGTTTGATGGGATCATTAAAGCATATAAAATTCATTTTGCCACTTAGCCATTGCTTAAACCTAAACTAAACAAGCTTGTAGAGCTGAGATGTACGCTTTGCTGATCATCCATCATTGTCAAATTGAGAGTATATAAATATATAACCATTTTAAATCTTTGTTGCATCCCCATGAAAGTATCAAAACTTTTGAAAAAGGGATTATAATTGGGACTGAAAAGATACTACTCAATCATGAAGGATGTCTTAAGGTTTTAGGACTCCAAATGCAACTAGGATGCGGCAGAATGTAAATCACACAAAAAATTATGATTCCTAGACTAAAGATAGCTAAATGCACAAAATTTTCTTTCCTCAGGTATAAATGGATAATACATGCAAGCTGAACCAAAATGATAATGCAATAATCAATTATAACTAGGAATTAAAAGTACTACTGAATCATGAAGGATGTTTTGAGGATTTTAGATTCCTAATGCAACTAAGTTGTTGCAATGAATGTAAATTACACAAAAAATTATGATTCCTAGACCAAAGATAACTAACTGCACAAAATTTACTTTCCTTAGGTGTAAATGGATGATACATGTAAGTTGAACCAAAATGACTGTGCAATAATTGATTAAACTTGAATGAAACACTGAAAATTTGGAACCATGAAAAATCAATAAGCAAGCAAATATTTTTCCAGCAATAAAACTTAGTTGTGATAAACTTGACTAATATCAAGACTCTTGCAAGATTAATAATAAATATTTGAGGAAAATAAACAACTTGAGAAAAAGAGGTCACTGAGGTGAAGAAAATGCAAGTCTCGTGTGTTATATTAAAATATATTTTCCCTAAAGTTATCTTCCATACTTGTACAGCACTTGAAACGCAATAGTGAAAATCAGATTATGAATTTCTTGGAAAAAAATATAATAAATTATATGGCTCAAATTTTTAAAATTGTCATTCCTAGGTTAGAAGATAAGATTTACAGCTCGCAAAATATCCAATTTTTGGTTTAAGTCTCGGTTTTTGGTAAATGCTGCCCCGAAATTGGAACCTTCAAATTTGAAATAATGATCTCATAACCAACCATGGAAAACTCGTCCATGTATCTTCCTAAGGCTATTGCAATTAAATAAAATTAGAAAAAATAAAAGATTGCATGTGTTGAAATCGAGTAGGCACACCTCTTGATCTTTTATTCAATGGTAGAATGGGTCACAATTCTAGCATGAGTTAATTTGAACCAATAGTTGACTCCTGAGGTATGGTGGACCTGAAAAATCCGATGCATAGCTCCACACTAGGGTAAAAACAATGCATCTTATCTTACCTTTATACATAAATGAACCTTTTAAAAACTTGTGATTTGAATCAAACCAAAGCTATGCCAAGCTATGCAATGAACCTAGCACTAGGAATCAAATTAATAGGGAACATATTATATCGCATAAGCAATCATGATACATGTCCACGCAATCTGACATTGAAAATTAAAAAATAAAAATAGAATTGCGACTATTTAAATGTTTTTGATGAGTATCAACTTGTAATATTTGTCAGCTTGTACAAATTCGACTCTAATGAATTTTATAATTGGTATTCATAATATAAATTTTGCACTTTTTGCAAAATAATTGATGAATAGTCACACATAGATTAGTAACACCAATGCACATGGTATCTTTTAAAAACACTATTATTGCTGGAAATAATTTCATTGTCTTAAATAGCTTCAAGATAAAAAAATTGTAGAAATGTAAGACAAAATGTTGGATGTGAATTCACATGGCACATGTGAAAAGAAGAATAAAATCGAAAGAATTTACTGTTGTTTCATTATATAAGATCAAATTAGACAAATTAAAGATTGACGGCACCAAAATTTTAGAATTTCTAATTTGCAAATTTTAATTCCAATATGTTGCAAATTTAAATGTTTGTGCCTTTCTTTTATTTATTTTCTCAAATATTCATAAAAGAATCCTTTTTGAAATAAAATGCGTCATTATTTCATCATCCGTCTTAAATGTCTTTATATTAGTATAAAGCTTATAATTATAATAGTTGGTAGTTAATTTTCTATGAGTCTTATTATGTAAGTTATATATCAATTGTGCGACTGATTGTACAAATGCACAAGCCTTGGCTCAATAAAAAGCAACCTGCCATAATTATATCAAATGGAGTCATGCTTGTGGATCTATTGATTGATGAGTTGTATGCATACTCAGCCATATAAAATATCAAAACTCGACTGATTGTGTGCATTTTATGCAACAGTGTAATAAATCATCAAACTATTCACTATCATGGTTGTCCATTCATTTATAAGTGATATTCATTTGAAAATTTAAGTTTTCTTCCTATCTTTTTCTTAAAAAAAACTTTTAGAAAGAACTCATGAATCTTATTTCTCTGTTTTAGGTAATTCATGTAATTTAACTAGTGCTCTAAATATTTTTTTGCAAAGTTAGATGCATTAATTATTTTATGACATTGCATGAAATGTGTTTTTTGAGAGAAATGATATATTTTTATGCAAGTATAATTATGCTTTCTTAGAGTTCGTAGTAACATAATCCATATTCACATCTTCTAGCTTCTATAAAATTAACAAATGTCTATAATGCCCAATGCTTTTTCTTCCCTTTAGCTGTTTACTGTGAAACAATCTCTGCCATATTTTTTTAAACTATGCTTGTAATATCCATTTTCCATTATTGATATTGTTTTATTTCTTTCAAAATGCCCAACAATATCGCTAATTGTAATTCTAAAATCACTAAGAGTCTGTTCTGTATGCACGGTATGAACATGACACAGATACGACACAACATGGATACGGGATATATTTATTATTGAAAATATAGGATATGAATACGTGTTGGACACGCCATTATAATAAAAAAGCATTAAAATATATATAAAAATTAAATAAACAAAATATTTAAAATTATAAAAAGAAAAATATTAGAAATTTAATAACATGAACTTTAAAAACACGTTTTCATTTAAATAAAAACATAAAAAATAAATATAAATAAAAAATAAAAGCAAAATTGATCCCCATTGACCTTTAAGATTTTTATAAATAATTATTAGTATATGACATACAAAAAGTAAGCTTATATTATCTTGTATTACATCAAGAATTAAGTTTTCTTAATCAATTATTGATTAAATGAAATTAAATGATCATAGGTTTTTTTTGCTCTGAATTTTTTATGTATTTTAATATCTAACACCTATATTTTGATTTTTTACATTATGCCACTCAAATATTTCATATCACATCTAATATTCTATTCTTTTAAGTTTTAACATGTGAAATATAACTTTTCATATTTATGTAAGGCGGCGTATATGTAAAAATTTAACATTAGGTGCTAGATACATAAATACATACAAATTGAGTGGTATATATGTAAATCTTCATAAAATTTGACCTTAAAAATATATATTTTTTAAATTTTGTTTTAAAAATATTTTAAGATGTTTTTAATTTATTAATTTATGATACATGAATCCGACACCATGTCCTACTCATGCCCTGTGCATGTTCTTTTTTTAATATTATTTAAATTGGACAA